TCAACATGCCAGATCTTTTCTGATCCCCACAACCGTCAAGTATAGGAAGAGGTCCGTTAAACACATCATCCCGACAAAGAGGAGGAGGATTACTTGGAATCTCAACTTCCCCTTCCGGAGGTTCCTCATCCGGAGTTGGAAATATCCATTCCAGAAGTGGATCGAGTGGATTGAAAAAGAATCTCTTAGTCAATAGTTTATCAGACCGGGCAGCTGTAATTTTAGCATCATAGGCTACGAAAAAAATGGTAATTTATTTTTTTAATTATTTTTTTTTTATACCCAAGATTTGTGAACGACGAGATAAAGAATTATTTGAAATTTATTATTTGAAAATTATTATACACGACATTCACCTTTAGGATGAGACCCGTGAGTTTTTTCAACATGAATAAGGAAAAAAAACACAAGCAAAGTAAATGAAATAATAAAATATTTCTGTTTCATGTTGAATTGTGGTTGTTATAGTAATATTTAAAATTTTAAGTGTCGTCCGTATATTTATTATGAGTTAAAAATTGTATAATTACGATCTTTAAAATTATAATAAACTTTTTACGCGCTGTCTATGTGCTTATTTATATTTTTTTACTAAAGATCTTTTCTTGTATTATCGCAGTTTGTAAAATGAAATGCTTTTTGAAGATATGAATATAGAAAGTCATACATTATATAAATCAATTTATTTTCATTGAATTTTTAACCAAGTAAAGCGAATTCTAACTAAGAAAAGTGATTTCTAACTAAGAAAAATGATTTCTAACTAAGAAAGGCGATTTCTAACTAAGAAAGGCGATTTCTAACTAAGGAAAGTGATTTTACTTATCTACAAAATCAGACCAAAGGTACATCATTTTTTGCAAATGCATCGATTCTTATGAAAATATATTTATGGTTCTAGAATAGTTCGGTTCTAATTTTTTTTAATTAGAAATACATTATTCCTATTTGATTGAATATGAGTGACGAAAAGGGAAAACCTGTAAATCATGTCACTCAATGAGTGAAATGATTTACAGGTTTTCCCTTTTCGTCA